AAAAAAGAAGCATAAAAATTTTCCTCTTACATAGGGGCTTAAAATAAATCCGGCAGTGGTGTGCAACACTCGGATTGCAATCGTGTATGAAAACCTTTTCAGTGTCGCCGAAATTTACTGTTAGCATTGCGCTTCCTTTTGCTTCATGTACATCCTACATAATTTTTAGTTCAATGAAATTTTTAATTGCTAATTGTTACTAATACTGACAAATGCAAAATTTAATATTATTAAAATGCTATTAAAATTTTATTAAAATAAAGGAAAAAGGAAAGAAAGTCTCAAAAGGTTTCATAAAAGTATTTTATATTTTCGTCTAATTCGCAGTTTACCAATCTGCTGTTGAACTTACTATTGATAACACAACTTTTTCTTGTCTTTTTTAGATTTTTTTAATTTTTTTTCCTTTTTTTTTTAGATTTTATATTAAACATCGCTTATTTCGCACATACGCCCCATAAAATTCAACAGCAAAATCACAAAACTTTTAAAAGCAGCGTATACCGATACAGCATAATCACAGACAGCATAGTCACAAAATGTTTAGAAACAGTATATCTTTGCAATTCCCGATAGCGTGTTAAGTGTTACCATATATATTTTATATTCGCTATATTACTTCTTTAAAAATAATGCATGCTAATAATTATAATATTTAATCCATATCTTTATTTTCTACTTAATGATATCGGATTTTTAAAATAACATTATTCTTTATTAAAGTTTCTTTCATAAAAGCATTACTCATCTCTAAGATTGGTCCATTTGTCGATTAAAAAGTAGAGCCTTTAGACATATAGTATATCGATAATGCCAAGAATTTGAACATTCCCTTTCACGTGTTTTTATAGTGAAATGATTAACACACTTATCCGGTTATTTGAGAACTCCGCTTTAGATTCCGAGCGAGATCATAATTAAGTTTCAAATATTTCTCAATTATTTTAAATCAGTATCAGAGTTCATTTAATTCCGAGTAAAACTGTTTTTTATTTGCATGGATTTTTGTAAACAATTACATTTGTATCCCGAAGATTTTGCCGGCTATGGATATTATTAACTTCTAATATGTTCCAATTCAGAAGTCAAACAACAAAAATCAGCGTTAATCCACAAAATTTTCACAGGACTAGTTTCGATGGTTTTACCGAACCATCATCTTCAGCTGCAAAACCGCAAAAAAATTAACGCTGATTTTTGTTGTTTGACTTCTGAATTGGTATTTATTCGGCGTGTTATTGTATCTTAATTCTAATATGTTCTAGGTAATATTTTAATAAGATACAAGTGTTTACTCATAGCAAAATCCTATAGTCTTCGATGTATAGGATTCAATATTCAATTCTCAACTATCAATCGTCGTTGAGAAATAGCTGGTATTAATATAATTTCTACTAAATAGGATTTCATGTATGAAAATATCCATGAAATACCAAGCTTTATCTGTGCTCAAGTAGTATTAAAAATTTAATCGCAGCAACCGAAGTTAGATATTACACAACATTTCTGTTAAGTGCTTTATAGAAAAGAAGACAAAAACAAGTTTATTTTATACATTATAAATATTATTATTATTATTATTTTATTAATTCAGTTGACGATAGTAGACTATAACATTTCTTTCATTCAATCCAATCTTAGGATTGTTTCTTTGAGCAACAGAATTTTGCGCATTTCAGTTCTGACAATAGTATTGTTTTTGGATGCATTTAGAATTAAATAAATTTTAAAATTTATATTTCGGACTTACATTTTATTCAAATGTCATAAAGTAAATAATATTTATATATGTAATTAAATGATGTAAAGATAAAGTTTGATGACGGGATTGAGATGAGCGGTTATTTGGTAGTTATCTTTACATACTATAGATGGCCATTGAGAACTAGTCCTAACAGAGTAATCAAACTTTATCTAGGAATCAAACTTTATCTAGGATATATGTAGAGTCATTAGGATTTGTTTGAAGCAAGAAACGGGAAAAATGTGCAATGCCCACGCCAGGATTCGAACCTGGACCTCTCGGATTCGCGCCCAGTGTGCTACCGCTACAACACGAAGACATGCAGAAAAAAAGGAAGAAAAACACCTTACCAACTAACAGTTGCATTTTGTAAAATTATCCTCTCACCAACGTTTTTTGTTTCGTTTTGGAATACATATAGTACTGGCATTGTCAGTGGGACATGTGGCACCTTCTTGTTAGAACCACATACTCTCCAAATTTATCGACAAAAATATTTTTATCAATAATATTAAAAATCACTATCGCTTGCCAGTATAAGTACATTTCCTCCCTTGTTTTTTGGGGAAAAATATGCTCCGATGATACCACTGTGCTGTAAACCACACTGTTAAATAGAAAAATTTTATTTGTTGGTCTGCCAGTCATCCTGGTCACGGCACCATTGTTAAATAGAAACATTTTATGTTTGTATTTTATTACCATTTAACTTCGGACTTTGACTGATGGTGCCGGACAAAAATAACAAAAAAAATCAAATACCAAATACATTCAAAAACTAATTCATAATATTCATATATCATTTCGACATTCTTATAAATATTCGTATAGTAAATCTATCAATCAATCGTATATCATATCTATCAATCAATCGTATAGTGGTATAGTACAATTTACTTTTTAGGTTTGCGTTGTGAGTAACCTATGTAAAGGAAATATCAATAACTCCAAACTCAATTAAACTCCATGTTTCTTAAAAGCCTCCCGGCTCAAACAAATGGAGGGACATGACAGACCACAGTAAATATACACAACATAAATACACAATTGCAATTAAATTTTAAACAAACATTTATTAAATTCTTGAATATATATTATATAATTAAATAATGGATAACTGATCAGCAATACATATTTTTTTAAGCAAATAACACATAATACTACACCAAATTACAGCTTATATTAATTAAGATTAACATTATCAAATTCTACTGTATCATAAGTGTAACACTAGTATTTTCTCCCATTTCATCTTCTAACTTTAAGTATTAATCATGGTAATTCACTTTAAGAACACTGATAATTTCCACATCGATTAATTAAATTAAGTAATTGCTCAAATTTCAACAAACATTAAAATGACGACTCTTGCTTGAGTATTAAGATAATTATTGAAGTAAAACAAATAAAAAAAAATCACTCACGGGGTGAAGTCCAAACTGCAACTCTCACTTTACTCGGGAATACCTTCGTATACTGATTTAATAAGGTGATTTAACAGCTCCACAGATCGTCCAGCGTCCAAAGTTTACTCGAGCACCACATTATTCCTGCTGTCCTTTATTCACAAATCATCGTTAATGGAGGCAGACAGTTCTTGCGAATTTTAAAGATGACTTGGTTGCAACACCATTGAAGCTGTCCTTACAATAAATAAATTCCAGAGCATGGAATGATGAAAAAAAAAATCGACGTAGCTGGCACAGGCAGAATAAACAGCAATGCACACCTTAGAAGGGTCCTACACGAGTCTCTTTCATTCTGGAAGCCCCGAAACTCACCATAAGCGTAGAGCACCTTTGGAACAAAATCTAATAAGTCAAAGCCGGTAAAAAACAGGAATACCGCATCAGGATGTCAGGATCACCAAGAGAATCTGCCGAACAATTCTTGGGATAAGAGAAATCGAAATTCTTCTGCTGAGCTCTATGCCTTATGCCAACGCAAATTCTCGCCAGCTAAAACCGAGAGAAAAATCATACCCTCTGCCGGCTGTTCACGCGGCTCGCGAGAAGCAAGACCCGAAGGGTCAAGCCCCCACTTTTTCTCCTCTTACTCTTCTTGAAAATCAGAATCAGAATGATCTCTAGCCTGGTGCAAGCACACAGGAAAACGGTTTCTCTGCCTCTGTGAGTTCATAGGCTTTCAAAAAAAAATCATAAAATTAAATCTTACCAATCCCGGAATTTTATGTTATCTAAATTGAGAAAATGACACACCCATGACGAATCAAACACCAGAAAATCTGACAATGCAATCCGAAAAACATCTGCACTCACATAACGTGAGAAAAAAAAATAGACCCCCCCAACTAACAAGCGAAACTAGCTTTTACGAGTATCCAATTATTTAACTTAGTACACCTCCCACTGTCTTGAAGTAAGAAAACTGCCAAAGCGACAGGAAAAACGATTTCCGTTTCACACGCATTAGCTAAAAGGCGACAATACGTACCCTACTACCTTCATTGTTTGTAGGAAAAGGCTATAACCAATAAACCAGATGTGTTTCCTTGCAACCGTCTCTCGCCTTTGTTACAATTCCTACTCAAGAATAATGAGTTAAATAAAACCTTAAGAGCTTAAGAATACTTTTTTCCAGATTAAAATACACATGAATACAAATAAAAAATATTAGAATAATAATAACTTAAAACACATATTAGTAATTGAAATTCGCGACATAACAACACGATATAGTGACATTTTGTCAAATGCAAGATTTTATTGTGAATTATTTGCACTCCTAAAGCGCCAATTTTGTTGTTAACATATCCATTAAAGCAGAAATGTGCTTCATTCGAGAAGATAATATTTTAACAAAGATAAAACGCTCTTGATACTCTTAGAATATGTTTGGTGCTTCATGACTAATAATTCTAAGGTGATTATGCGCCATAAAACATCTCCACTAAAACGTTCTTGAAGCGTGTATTTAACAAGATGCACTGTCAAAGCAAACTAAACACAAATAAAAATTAGTGACAGTGATAACATTTTAAAAATGGTTGCCATTTCGTATCCAAATCATGTTATTGTTAACGTAATACCCCCCTTTTTTTTTCAAATCAAGTTTCGGTTAACATAATCCAACAATACTTAAGCATAATTTTGAGAGTAGATATTTTCCAACACAAAATGAAAGAAAAATGCCTATAATTTATCAACACCTTTTTTCTCCCCATTCTATTTGAGGAGGATTTATATTAAAAGGGAATTGAAATTAATTGTTGCAATTTATTAGTTTGAGTACTTACCACAAGGCTGGGAGACTGCGTAAGAACGGTGGCTCTGGATCAGAAGAGATGACGACATAATTGGACTTGATGTTAATTTACAGTGAACAATGCTTTGATATTTAGCATGCACTTCTAAAGCTGTTCTCATAAACGAAACATACTAGGTCTTTGCTATCCTTTACCAGTTTGAAAAGGCACTCGTAACAAAAGCTACTCAGTGTCCAACTAACTTACTAAACTAGAAACGAGTCCATTTTACAGATGATAACAAAAGAAGACTACTTACACCAAAAATAAACACACATTTTTCATTTCTCTTCCCGCAATAAGATTTCAATATGTTTAAGCGAGGCATCTAGGCGTGACGATGAGATGATAGCTCAAGCTGCCTTACTTCACTGTCACGTACGTGTCGGAAAAGAGAAGAAATTGAAAAACCAAACTCCCCGCTGTTTAATTCATCGTATTGGCAAATTCAATCGCCCCGAAAACTCCTTTCGAATTCTTGATGCTTCCAAACAATCCATTTCATTGGGTAACAACGCGAGGCGTAATTGAAATGTGGGAAAGTTATAATAAGAGTATAGACAGTTGGAAATGAATCTCGTCTGTTTACCTTCCTCCCCCTCTCCCCCCCCAAAAAAAACTTCGACTGATACTTTCCTTGCCTCGGGGGACGATCGTGAAGAAAGTGATGAACAAAAATACCTCGGCCGTCCTCCTGGGAATCGTGGATGACGTTGCGTTTTCTTTTTTTCTCTTCTTTTCTGCAGTGTGGTCTTTGCAAACTCGATAAATTCCGGCGAGCAGAATGAAGTTAATACGGAAGAGGGGTGCGAAGAAGAATGCAGTCCAAGCACGCGAGGTATTTAGATTGCAGAATACATCTATATATCTTTTTTTTTTTTTTTTTTTTTGTTGTTGTTTCTGTTTCCGTTTAAGGGTAAGCAACGACTTCAGCATTGATAGTGCACCGTAATTTTTTCTTCTCAGCAAAAGGTCTGAAATACACGTATATTTGTTTATATAATGGGGATAAAAGCTTTAAATAAAATATGCATAAAATATTTTTTAGATTAGTAATGTTTTCGTAAAATAACTAAAATATTTGTTAGCTATCACAACATACTTAGTTTAATGTGGCTCAGTACAATCCTGATGTTGCTAAATGACGATTTAATAATTTAAATCAAAATTGTTAAAGAGAAACTTGTTTGAGTTGAATGGGACTATTTTCATATAGGTATATGTTTCATATACATGTTTTTCCTTTTGCATATTTTAGAAGGGGGAATGAAAAAGAAAAAAAAAAGACATTCACTGTTTTTTTAATCAGATTTTTTTTTTAAATTAGCATATCAGTGATAAATCAAAAGTCATCTTTCATTCACCTTTCGATACGTCCGACGGTGCTATGAGGCTTAACTCAAATTGTTCCAGTTCCACTAATTATGAATATTTATAATACATTTAACAGTATAAAAGCACTGAATTAAAAAAAAAATCGACATATTTGATTTTTATTGTGGGAGGAGAAAAGTGAAAATTTCCATATGATATGAGTATTAAAGAACTAAGTTTCCAAATTATATACATATTTTTTTCATGCATTTTTACAAAGAGTTTCACAATACCCTATTCAGTTACAGCTGACTGAATAACTTTTCTCTTCATGTCTCGCATGCCATTGTTTTGCTTTGATAATAACAGAATTTTTACTAAGCACGTACTTTATTTGGACAAAACTATACAAAGAGAAAGGTGACACTTAACATTCCAGATATCTAATAATAAGTTTGTGGTAAAAACTTTCGACAGCTTTTATGTTTTATTCACGTTTTCCTTTTGCATTATAGATTCGCTGTCAATCAAGCTGTTACTGTAAAAAAATACTTTTTTCATGCTTCTGTAATTTGGCATATAAATTAGAAGACCACATTAGAATGTATTAAAAACAAAAATCTGTTGTCGGCTCTAGTTTATTCAAAACTCATTGAACAAATAAAAGAACGTGCTATGTGATAATTCGTGCTTCGATTTACAGGCATTTTTCTTACAATACTGCCTTCGTATCCACAGGCAAAATACACCAAAATCTATTGTGCTTGCACAAAACCGTGGACAAGAACAAAATATTAAAAACAGTGGTACCTCGGTCATTAATCCGTTCCATATCTCTGGACGTAGACCAAATGACCTTTTCCAATAAGAAATAACTAGAGAATAATCAACCCTTTCTTATAAAAAATTCTGTCGTTATTATCATAACACTGTTTCAAACTATAATATTACAAATGCAATGAATAAAATATATACTGTACGGATAAATATTTTTCTATACAGATGAAAAGCAATTTTTAGAATGTTTTAACATATATGATTTTCATTTGGTAACCGACTTCATCCCTTTCCCAGAGTTAGCCTACTTAATAACGTCTTTTTTCGACCCATCATCGTACTCGACATTCGGTGCGTAATATCTGAGTCCCTAATATGCATGCTCTCCTCATACGTTTCAAAGATTTTTTTTTTCGCCTTCATGAAGTTCTTAAAAATTTTCTTCGTTCCTTTCTTCGTTAAAGGCCCTTCTCATTAACCTTCTTAAAATCCTAAAACTCATTGTTAATGAATTTACAAAACATTTACGCGAAAAAACACAAAATCCCTTCAATTCAGATTTGTAGTGAGAATTTTTTACCGAATAGAAGACAGAAATGTTCTGACATTCATGGGTAGTCGTAGCAATGTCTTAAAAGAGGCAAACAACGGTAGTGCGTGCAGTTGTCACTCACCGAGTCTAAGTCATACATTAAACAATTTTCACGGCCAAACATGACATACTATAATACTCGCTGAGTGCGAGGGTTAAGCCATAAACACGCTGCACACACTGCAAAATTGCGTATCACAAAGCAAACTTTCTGTGGAAAAAACGGGTTAGGTATAGTTCAGATTAACAAAGTGGGTATAATTTATATGAAGCTAAATATTATTGCAATTAAAAAAGAAAACATGGAACAAATATTCATTGAAGTGATTTTTTTACTTCTTTATACGTCGATACGTGATGCAATTATTTTTTTAAACATTTGATGACTTTTGCTTGGAACAATGTCTGACGCAACTCATTAAACATTCGCTGTAGAGTTTTCCAATATCTCCTGTACAAAGTCCTCGTTTTCCTCCGTTTAAAATCAGTCAGTTCCTGTGTCTTTTTTAACAATTCTTTTAACTTCTTGTACATTAAAGGTCCTTTATCTTTTTCACTATCGCTGGTTCACTGACGGCTGGTGTTGTAATATCATTCAAGTCTTCATTTATCATATCACAATCGTCGTTCTCGACTAATTCTTTAATTTTTCCTTCGTTCCATATCTGAAAATCCTTCGCCGCCTGTTGCTTTTGGAATTTGTACATGGTTTCATTTTCAAAGATGGAAATCTTTTAAAGTTGTTGACAGCTTCTGATGATCGCTGATGCCAGCAACCATTCATTGTTGATGTTGTCACTTGTCACCATGCGAATTTAATCATTTCCATGGAGTGTCTTAAGTTGAACTGCTTTCAAAGAGTCATTAAAGTTTCTTGCTTTCCTTCGACTACTGCTTTTTATTTGTAGAGATGTAAACATGCCTGATATAATGACTAATGGCTTGGGCCTGATATAATGGCTTTGAATATTTTATCATTCTTTGATCTATTGATTGGATTAAGTAAGTGGTTTTCGGTGGAAAGAATAAAACCACTTTAATGCAGCGTTATGAAGGCTTCATTACAGTGGACTTCTCCAGCATTAGGAGAACTAAAAGGTCGACCTTGTAGTTCTAAGTAATATTTGACTTCTTTAATAAATAAATTTTCAAACCAGTCATTAAAGAGGACTACCGCAGCGCGGCTGATGCTCTTCAGCGTACCACATATAATTGAAATTATCGCGTTGGACAAATTAAATGGAGACAATTACGGGAACGCGCATACGCAAAATTCACAAGCTCCATAAGTCCGCGTTCGGCAAGAGTTTACTGTATACCATCTGGACGTATAACCTAGTACCACTGTATAACGTTCGGATGAGTATTTTAAAGTTTAATAACAGTTAAATGTAATTTAAAAACTCATATCTTCTTCCCTTTGATTTACGTCACATATATTTTCTCAGGCCAGAAGTTTATATAAATTAAAACACGCACAAGAGAGTTTAAAAACTAATGAAGGTTCAATGTCTTGTTTTGCGAAGAGCCGCTTTGCTCTTTGTAAAAGCTAGCATCACCCTGTTTGAAGAGTGTTAAAATTGCCGCATTCCCATCAAATTCTTTTCCTGCTCGAGGTTTATAATTGCCCTTTTATGGTGATTTTCTCAGGATAAAATCCAAATGCCTTTTTTGAAAAAATCTGAATTCGGTATTCGTTACTTTTTTGGTAAAGATCGGCTGAATTGTGCAATTTTTTTTAATATGCAAGCCACGTAAGCGAACGCGCTGGTTGCATCTTTGGTTTTCGTGCTTTGCCCCATGTGTAGCATGAGCATGAGCATGAGCATGAGCATGAGCCAGTTTCTGTTAGAAAATCTTCCTTGAAGGCATCCCTTCCCTTGGGCAGATAGTCCTCATTTGCTTTGCCATAATTAAATAAACGAAACTAAATGCAGTGAAGTATTTTTAGGTGAACGTTAGGATAATAGTTAGATAAAAAAATTACACTGGTTCCTGTTCGGGTGCTTGTGTAAAACTAATACTCAATTATTATACAAAAAACTTAAAGTAACTATCACAATAAATATTTGTAATATAGATAAATACGATAGAGTTTATTTGATAAAGTCTAATCGAAATAAAAAAAATAAAAATAAGCAGTTGGATTGCGTGCTGCATGTGCATTTATTAAGTACTTTCTCTCTCATTCTTGCGTGCATAGGAACTGGGGATTCTAATGTTTAATTTCAATCCTCAAAGAAAGAAATGAGACTTCACTATATCTTGACTGCTTCAATAAAGGAATTTCAAATAATGGAAGATGCATAAAATTTATTTCTCAAAATATCGCATATGTAATCAAATATCTCTCCGAATCGCTCATGTGTACCTGCTCATCCGAGACTGCCATGGGAAGGGAGTACTGAATGCAAATCGGATAGTGAACGTAAATGGGTAATGGACAAATTCTGTGCGTCACGCTCGTTCTTCCTTGGTGCATGCTTTGTATCTTATTATTATTTTGTTAAATTTATTATTAATTGGTTAGTATTTGGTTAAATTGTTTATTATTTGCTTAAATTTTGAATATTTTGTGAAATCGCAATTAATTGAAATTATTCGCGCTGAATCAGAAGACAGAGAAATATACTTTCAGGATAAAATGCCGTTCGAAGAAGGGGTCCATGACGGTTCGCTATGTGACTAAAATATTTATTCCAGATTTTAGCAAAACTTTATTTTTCACTACGGAAAACCCTCACTTAAATCTAACATATTTAAT